GATTCGTTGAAGCCGAATAATAGAAGAGGAGCCGGAAACAGGTCTGATTCGTTGAGGCCGAGTTTGAGAAAGGTCTCGTAGTACATGACCTCCGAAGTGCTTCCCTAATCTATGCGGACGCGTTTGACGGTAAATCGATTCACGTGTAGTTGAATGACCAATGGATCAATATGGGGGAGCGATATGTTGATAAGATCGGAATCGTCGAAAATGATACTCGGAGCTTCGTGGGGCTGTTTCGTTTGTGTGCGTTGCTTCTGGGGGGCTGAATGAATTGAGTGTATGGTACATGGCGTTGGAAGGTCGTATATCATATGTATTACGACGAGGGGAGGTGACTCCTGACGAAGGGCAACAGTTTTGATTGTGCTCTTCCGGACGTGTTACTGGAGCCGACCATCTTGCACCAATTCCTCAAGGTGGTCTTTCAAGGCATAGCAATTGTCCGTATCATGACCATGATCTTTGTGATATTCACAATGCTTGTCCTGCCTTCTCGTGTCAAGAGGTCCCACCATCTTGGACGGCCATTTGAAGAACGGAAGATGTTGGATTTTGGTCATAATCGAGCTGATTGGCTCTGACAGCTCCGTATATTTCTTGTCGGCGCGCTTTGTGCGCCTGCTATCGACCTGTAGTTACTCATTTGCCTGGTGCGAGCATTGATCGCTAGATCAGCGGGAGTCCCGTCTCCTGTCTCGTTTAGCCTGCTGTCGTGGTTCAGGGCTCTGAGGTGGTGCGGAACTTATTGGCTGAGCAATCTTGGGAGGGGCCGTTTCGTTGGCCACGTGTCCGGCTTTAACCCGCAAGGCGTCATCTTCCACTTTGCAGTATTCCTCTACTTTCTTCATCAACCCCTAGACTGTTTTGGGGGGTCTTCTAGTCAGGGAACTGCGGAGGGCACTGTCTGGGTGTAATACCATTTTGAAGGCGGTGATGGCCATGGAGTCATTACAAGCATCGTCAACGAGATTAAAGCATTCCCAATATCGCGCCGAATATGCTCTTAATGTTTCTCCTGGCAGGATTTGCATTGCCCAAAGAGAGTCGGCTTGTTTCGGCTGGACTTTGTTGGTGATGAATCTGGCCCTGAAGGATTTTTGTAGTTGGTGGAAGGTTTTGATCAAAGCCGGCTCTAGTTTATAATACCACCTGACTGCCAATGGTCTCAAACTGCTGGGAAATATTCGGCACATGAGGGCCTCGTCGTCTGCATGCAATGTCATGGCCTGCTTGTAGTGGCGGATGTGGTCGGTGGGGTCTGATTTGCCGTCGTACAAGGTGAATGATGGTGCTTTGAATTTCTTGGGTAGCGCAGCCTTTGCAATCCGTCGTACGAAGGGATCGTGTTGGTCTTCATCCGAACTGTTCCTTCTTCGCTTGTGCATTGCACGGGGACTTTCTTCGGAAGAACTGGTGGTTTCGTGTCATCCCTTCTTCCTGGGCTCTGGGGATAATGAGTCGGAGTCGCTATCAGTGTCTTGTCGTGCTCGAGGTTGTTGACCACCTGCCTTCGGAGGTTGTTCTGGATTTGGGCGCGCAGCTTGCTTGGACTTCGCCATTTCTAGGGCCAAATCTTTACGAAGACGTTCGTTCTCAGCGATCATGTTTTCTAACCTCTGTTCATTTTCCTTTGCTTGTTCCATGATCGCCTGCATTGTCTCGTGCTCCGAACTCGAGGGTGAGGCGAAATTCAAGGCACGTCTTGCGGCGATAGTCTCTGTTCCAAGCAAGTTTGTTGGAGTAGTTTCCTCTTGGGGTATAGGGTCGACGGTGACTGTCGGAGGATCTTCTATCACGCTCACCATAGACGTGCTTGAGTATTCCCACAGACGGCGCCAATTATGGAGAAGTGGTTTGGAAATACTCTTTTGATCCTGGGGAATGCTCGAGATCCTCTTCCGGTCACCTGAAAAGGAATTACACTCCGGCAGGGGTGTCGGAATTAGCACTCCGACGGACAAGTTAGTAACCGTACTCCAGAATGCTTATATTCTAAGTTAAGCACAATAATTTTCACATACCTCTTTAGGACTAAAAATCTTGTATTTATAGTATTCTCTTTGGGCCTTGGGGACTGGCCCACTCCTAGTCCTTGCCATGTACTTCTACACGGCCCTTGTTTTACTGGCAGGAATGTCGACTCTTTTATTCGGCCCCTCAATTGGATAGGGTCAATGCCGAATAGAAGTTATGTTCTGGACCGGACTGGTCCGCTCCTATTGATCCAAAATTATTCGGCTCCCACAATACTAATTAGTACATTAAGGCCATGTTTGTTTGGGCGGACTGGATTAGTATTCCCATGACTAATAGTCTTAGGACTACGAATCCGTTGAATTATGTATCCTATCTTAACTAATAGTCAAGTTTAAAATAATTAGTCCGTACTTCAATTGTTTAACCAAACATCGGATTAATAATTTTATTAGACTATTAGTCCAATCCCAAGCTCATGTCCATCCAAACAAACATGGCCTAATTGATATATATAGCATTATTCATATTTATTGTCTTCACAATGGAGGTTGTTTATGTCATTAAGGCCATGTTTGTTTGGATGGACTAGATTAGCATTCCCATGATTAATAGTCCTAGGACTACGAATCCGTTGGATTATGTATCCTATCTTAACTAATAGTCAAGTTTAAAATAATTAGTCCGTACTTCAATTGTTTAACCAAACATCGGATTAATAATTTTATTGGACTATTAGTTCAATCCCAAGCTCAAGTCCACCTAAACAAACATGGCCTAAATGCATTATTAACAAGTGTTTTAAGGCCACTTGTTAACAAAATCCATCAATAAATTGTTTCTGTTTGTCGTTTTCGTTTTTGGAGTATTACATTAAAAATCACATGATCACAATTACATATAATTTATAAACTTCAAAATATGTGAATTTATTATTGTATAAATCATACTATCTTTTCTAGTATATTATTGTGAATGCTGAACTTGGTGTTTAAGTTTTTATTTGTTTTTCGTTATGCGAAATGTACAAGACTTGAAATCAAGACTTTTGGTATAAGAAAAAGATCTCTTACCACTTGAATAACACATATTATAATGTTAATTTTATTATTATTTGTTATTAATTTTCAAAATATTACACCCAGTTATAGGTGGAGAGTTGAAGTACATTAACCTTCTAGTGTGATTCAAAATGTTTTGCCGAAATGGCCTCACTTGGTTGGTCAGGGGTGAAGCTGAGACTCTTCCATTTTGAGAGCCAGAAGAAATGCATGAGGCAAATCTTACGAAACAGATGATTTGAGTTTTAATGAATTAAATAATTATTAGTATTAGTTAATATAGGTCAATTGGCACAATTAAAGACTATGGAAGACTAATCTCAATTTTAGCATGTTACTCATTTCTCATATTTTACTCAAAGGATTCTGATTGTTTCCATATTGGCCTTGTTTTACAAATGTTATTTTTTGTTTTTTGAGTTAAAATTCATAAAAAGATAAAATAGATTAAAATAACTAATAAGATAAAATATCACATTAAATATGTAATTATTTCACTTTTTTCTCTCACAAATATTATATCTAACTGTAAAAAAATCTAACCATATTTCTAAACACAAATATTTTAACATACTAAAATATCCAAAAATTAAAATAGTTTACTAAAATAGTCAATATCTCAAGCGAGGCCATTGTAAAATAATGTGTTTATACTTACCACATTAATTTATTTTTTATTTTTCATTTTTTAATGAATAATAACACGAAACGACTTGCCAAATAAATAAGTTGAATTATTGGTGTGAGTACGCCGTGAAGGCCATAGGCTCAACTAGATGGTTGATTAAAAAATAGATTGAAAAAAACACTCTATTAAGCAATTGTATTCATAACAAAACAATGGGAACCAATATAAGAAATGAATCAAAATTGCACTCAAATGAAAGTGAGCTTTGAAAAGTTGAGCTTTAATATATTTAGCATAATTTAAATTAGAAAAACGATATCTATAAATGAACGTTATAAGTTTAAGACTAGAATATATGGAAAGGCATTAACCTACATTATAATTTAATTATTAATATACTAATTGATGTCTTGTGAAAAAAAACTAAAAAAACACGAAGGCGTAAATGTGACATATATTTATTAATGTAAAATCTATTTTATTTTTTGTCTTTTAATAATAATAAAAATCTGATAAAAAAATATATTTATTATAAAATATTTACGTAAATAATTTCAAGTCATAATCGAACCTCTACCAAATTGTATTCGTTAGGGTTCGTTTGGGAAGTGAATTGACTTTTTTTGACATTTTGACTATTTTAGCCTGTGGTTAAAAAGCCTCATTCAGAAAGGGCTTTTTGATTTTTTTGACTTTTTTTTGAAAAAAAGAATGTAATAATTATGGGTTAGATGTGATGTTTTGTCTTATAAGGCTAAAAATGTCTTTTTTGTGTCTAAAATAGCCCTAACCTTTTTTTCCAAACGAAACCTTTTTTTTTTAATTTTTTTTAACAAGAAAAAAAAGAATGCTTTGTGGACATATCATAACATCTATGGACTTTGGTCTTGAAATAATCAATTACTGGTAAGATTTAACTTAACTCAAAAGAAGCAACTTACTATCGGAGCAAGAGAAAAATAACCAACTCCCAACACAGGAAGCAAAATTATGTGCAAAATATAGCACAATCAATATCAACTATTTGAAAAAAGGGACTGCTAATTACATCCCTAAAAATGGAGCCATAATCAATCATATGGAAGGAATCTGTTAGTCTAATCTAATGTAAAACAACCCAATGAAGCATTTTATCCATTCTACGATGATAATGATTTTTTCCCCTTTCTTCTTTATTAACTTTTTTTGGTATATATATTATTATTTCTTTTAACTTTTTTTGGTATATATATATATATATTTTTTTTCAATTATCTCTTTATTCTGTTTTACTTATTTTTCCCATTTATTTATTTATTTTTTAAATATAAATTATAAATAAGAAGATATAAAAAAATTTCCATTTCGGTGGCAATTTCTAGGATCAAAATTTTCCGACTAATCAAACAGTTACAGAAAGCCAAGAAAATATTTTTTCGACATGTTTGCTTCTACAACCTTAAGCCTGTCCAACCACCTTACCACGCCGGCCTCGGCCATACCCGAACCTAAGCCCAAACCTACACAACCCTCCTCTCTCTCTACCCAAACCAACGAAGCCACCTCCGAACCTGAGTCCGAACCACAGCTCCGGAAGCTCAAGGGCAGCCCCAACTGACCCGCTGGTCCAGGTCTCGAGCCACACGATCCACCCGGAAATTGGACCGCCAGGTCCACCGTACAGGCACCGCAGTGGAGGTGAACCGGTCGGTTAACTGGGAGGAGAGAGAATTGCCGGAATCTTCTCCGGCAGCCGTGGGCGGCGGAGAGGAGGAGGCGGAGGTGGTGGGGGCGAAGGCGATATATATGGTGTCTGACGGCACTGGGTGGACGGCGGAGCACTCTGTGCAAGCGGCGCTAGGGCAGTTCGATCATTGCTTGGTGGATAGGGCTTGTCCTGTAAATACCCACTTGTTCTCAGGGGTAATTATGTCTTTTTACTTTGCTTTTTCTACATTGGATTGGATTGTTGAAATTGTTACTTGTCAAGGATGGTTGAAATTGTTACTGGTTAAGCTTGCTAGCTCGGTATGTTTCATTAGAACAATTAAACTCCTTTAGGCCTTGTTCGCTTCATTTGAATGATTATTTCATTAAAAAGTTATTATTATGTTTGGTTAAATTTAAAAAAATAATAACAATACATTACAAATGGAATAATCTTTACCATTTGAAAGGAATAATGATTCAATAAAATTAAAAAAAAAAAAACTTTAGGTGGTGTTTGGATGGGAATTTGAGAAGTGATTTAGAAAGGAAAAAGAAAAAGGTTAGTAAAATGTGAATAAAATATACTTACATTTTACTTAATTTCATATATATTTTTTCTTTATTTTTTATATGTATGATGATAAGCATAATAATATGATATAGAAATGTGACAAGTCTATCATTATTACCACAGTGATTAGTGTGGGTGTTGATTTTTGACCACACAACTAAATGGGGTATTCAGCTGAAGAGCACTGACAGAATAGATTAAGTTTGAATAACCTGTCGCAGAAAAATAAGAATCCGGCGGTGATTTGTCCATCCAGGAGCACTTCGACGATCAAGTCAGTAATTAAATATCTCTCAAAGATAGCTAATTGAGCTTGACTCACAAGAAAGAACTTATGGTTTTCAATATCTCACACATACCTCAAACCCACGGGGGTGTCCTGCTTTTATAGCCAGCACTAGCCTGATCTCTGTAGAAGCCTAACTCCAGTGGACTCAGGCTCAATGCTCATCCTGAACTTTTAGCTAGATAGGGATAAACTCCCTAAGAATTTTATCTTTATCTAGACTGAGATTCTCCCCTGTTCTAGGACTCTTGTCCCTTATCCGCTTATCTTGGATTTCAGTATATCTGCAGATAACCTCAGCCTATCCGAAATCACCTCGGCATCAAGACTAGGCCACGTGGTATCTCGACTGACACTTCGGCATCACCTTGGCCACGTGCTGTCATTCACAAAATATGCCCCCACAATTGCCTCCTAGGTTCTATTACCTCGGCAACATGAGGTGATGGAACCTATATCACTTATTCCTGTATTATGTCGGCAAAAATTCATTCTTTTCTTCGACCGAGATCATGATTCGTCAGTTTCAAGTACCCAGGACTCAACTGTTCATCTTTATCAATGATCAAGAACCAAGAATCAAGTTCTTTGACTTCCTTAATCCATATCGTTCCTCTAGCCGAGATTTTTGCTTCATCAAATCAAGAACTCTAAGAGTTTTATCTACGCTGCGCATGAGCTGTCATGCACGGTTTTCTCAACCGTTCCTTCCACGCGTCCCTTTCTTATTCCTTCGTACCTGACATGCGCTATCAGGTTGCATTGCTTCTGCGCACGTCGCCTGACAAACACGTCGTTCAATGCATATTCATTTCCTTTTGCCGTCCTTTCAGTTTTTAACAAAAACTCTCTTTCTCTCTCTTCGTCTTCTCACTTTGCATTCTTTCATTCTTTCTTTGCACTCAGACTTTCTCTCTCTAAAAAACCTCCATTTTCAAACCTTCAAAGCTCTGCAACTGTCTTTTCCAGTGAATCCTCTGTTACTCCATCTCGATCTAAGGCATTGTCTAACTCCAGCTCACCCTACTCCATCGTTCTTGTTCTCGGCCCTATTTAGTAAGTTACACAACTTCTTTCTCTTTAATTTCGGTTTTTTATTTGTGATTTGTTTCAAATTTGCTATCTGTGCACATTGTTTGTTGTTGCCTTGCATTTGTAGACTTCTTGTTGTATGCCGTTTCCATCTTCATGTTCTGGTCATCACTTCTGATTTTTGAATCTTGAATCTGTGTACTTTTTCTCACACACTCACCCAGTGATTTGAAGTTTTGGGTGTGTATATCTGTTTTTTGCTTCAATCTTGATTTCTGAATTATATTTCTTGTTTGGTCTTCTTGTTCTGTTTCTAGATTCTGCCTTCGAATCTTTGTTTATTTTCATAGATCATAGGTTTGGGATTTGCCTAGAAACCAAATACTTAGGAAAAGCTGAAACAAACTTCCCTTAGATTTGTAAAAACCCTAGCTCCAGTGCCAATTTAGGGTTTAGCCGAGGTATTTAAACCCATACCAACCATTCTTTTATGAAATTTTGCACCAATCTTTACTAAGCTGACATCGTGGGTATGTTTAGGTGGAGAGTAGACTGCCTGACCAAACTAGAGTACTTCCAGCAAGAGTTTTCCATCCCGGCCGATGTTCATCTGAGGTTGGCTGGGAAGGACAACTCAATTATGCTTGGCCAGGATTGCATGCAATTCCTAGTCGTCTCTATTGTTAAAGGAGGAGTTAGGTTTCCCTTAGATATCCTCTTTAGGGAAGTCCTCCACTATTATAAATTCAATCCCATGCAGCTAGCCGTTAACTCTTTTAGGATCATCAATGGCATGGCCGAACTGGCACGTTGGCAAAATGCCAAAATCACCCTCTCTGATATCCAGTACTGCTACACCATGTGTAGCTTAAAAACCCCCAAAGGCTACACTTACTACCTCAAGCCGAAATCTACGCAATACAATCTGATAGCTGATATGCCAGATTCTAATAAAAGCGTGGCAAATGACTGCCTAATTGTCTCGAGCAATTGGGAGTTTGCGCCAGGTGATGAACTCCACTTCTTTTCCCTGCGTCACGAAGTTTTTAGGGATGACAAGGGTAAGGACCTAGTCCCCTCCCAATGTCCTTTTCTTTGTTGCCTTACTTAACTATCTTTCTGTTTCTAATGTTCTCTTTGTGTTTTTGCAGCCCTTCCTCAGCCCGAAAAGGACTTTCGCCAATACTACGTGTCAAGCAAGGATTTGGTGCGTCTTCTTGGCTTGCCCATTGAAGTGCACAAGGCTCCAGTCCTCCTCAACTTCATCCCTATGTATAGGAGTCCTCTGCCCGACGTCCTTAGAAAGAGCAAATCTCCTTCATCCACCACCACTCCTCCAGCTGCTTCATCTCCAAGGCCAGATCATGCCTCTACCTCTGATCCTGCAGACCAACCATCAACTTCTGCTTCTTAGCTAATTCTTCCAACCCAGCACCAACGCTGACGCCGAGCTCCAGTTTCCGCTCCTGCCGGCAGAACTCGCAGCCACCAACGCCGAGAATCTGAGGCATCGGCATACTACGCTGCTAAGCCTTCCATAGCCCTTCCAGCAATCCGCTTTGGCACCAAGGTCACTGTTGCCGCCACCGTCGAAGAAATGGGCTGGGTAAAAATCATTTTGGACGACCTTCTTGCGGACATTCCTGGCGTGGTGTTGGTCCATTTCTCATCCTCTTCTCAATCTCAGCCAAAACCCAAGGTCAAAAGGGTTAAAAGGGCTAAAGCCAAACCCAGCGCCATCAAGGTAGAGTTAGAGGACACAGTGCCAATTTCAAAATTGGCTGAAATAGAGAAGCCTGCCTCTGCCGAGAAGAGGCTTGCCGAGGCCGAGTCATCTGATCAACCGCGATCCAAGAAGCCGAAATCCGAGGGGGCTTCTGAGCTCAGTGTTTTCTGTGCCAATGAGCCCTGGACCCCCTCTGTCAAGGGTGGAGACCGACCTCTTCTTGCCGGGGACAGCGCGCTCGATAGTTTGGAGGTCGGTGCTGCCCTTTCCACCACCATTCTCCTTCTGGCCGACATCAATCGGATGACTGAGCTCTCTGAGTATGAAAACTATGCAATGATGATGCAGCATTGCGTTTTTGTAAGTCTCAGCACTTGTAACTATTTGTCTAATTTCAACTATGTTTTTTATACTTAACGAATTTTCTTTCCTTTCTTGCAGGCAAAATCGAGTAGTTTAAAAAGGAGCTAACCAACAAGAAAAGGAGGCAGCTAAGCTCTTGTTTTCACTGAACAAGGTCGAGGCTCGCATCTGAAGCTTGCAGGACTAGGCGAAAACTGCCCAACTGGCCCAGAGCAAGGCTGAGGATCGCGTCGAAGCTGCTGAGGATGTGGTTGAGGTCACTATGGCCAAGGCCAAAGAAGCCAAGGAGAAGGAGTCTCAAGCCCAGGCTGAGCTCCAAGCGGCATTGGCTAGCAAAGCGGTCGAAATCAAGGCGGCCGACGAGAAGGCTTATGCCGAAGGGGCAGTCGACGTCCGCAATGCATATGAAAAGCAAATCAACCAGGCATGCAACAAAGGTTATACCCTTGGCTGGATGGCTGCTTTGAAGGAGTTGGCCATCCCTGACGACTCGCCTCTCTGGGACGAAAACCGACTTGTACTGCCATTCTCTCCCGCTCCAAGCTAGTCTGAGGATGAGGCTGAGGGGGAAGAAGAAGCCGAGGTCGAAGTTGGTGCTAAAGGTTCTGCTGGGGCCAAGTCCCCAACTCTGAATGAGCAAGTCCTAGACTTGACTCAAAATGACGAGGATGAAGTTTAAAAAACTACTTCTGAGGCCGAGATCGAGCCTGCCAATAAGAGCCTAGATGACACCCTTCTTGAGATCGATGCCGAGGTCCAAGCTGAAAGGTCTGCCCAGCTGCCTGCCGTGGATGACACACAATGCCAATTGTCGAGGCAGGGCAGACTACGGAAAATGCCGGAGATGCATGAACTTAGGATTTTCCCCTTTTGTACTTTTTCTTCTTACTTTTGAACAGTTGTAACATTTTGCCATCTAAGCTATTTTACTTTTTCTTTTGGCCGATCTACCTGTTTGTAATCTGAACAAGTAGCTTTCTTGGCCAGGTCGAGGTGCCTTTGTCTTTGAAATAGTTTATTCTATGAATGCATGCTTTCCTTTGGCTAGGTGTATATATGTTTACTGTTTTTCTCTTTATGCCTTGTATGTTTGTATGTTTCTCCATACTTAGAATATTTTTCTATTTCTTCAAGGTACACTTTAACTGTGCAATCACTTCGGGCTAAAGTACCTCGGATATAAATTGTAGAAATTTAATGTATAAAGAGAAAAAGAGAATTGTATTATTGATTGA